ATTCGGCGCACGGGGGCAAGGCCGTCACGTGAATACGTCCTATAGGGGCATTAGAGCGTTATTACACCTTGAATACGGAGTAGTATTGAAATAAACAAATCAAAACACAAGGTAGATTTACAGCAAGACCGTGTGTCACAGTTCATTTAGCCGTTTGACCAAGGCAGGAATGCAGCTCGTCATATAGCGTTTAGTCCCGGAGGGCTGCTGGTACCGAGAGGAGTTTCACAAACTTCTGCCATGCTGTTGACCTCGGATAGGAGGGAAATCGTGTTCAAAGACTTTCCAATTTAGTTGCAAAGTCAGAACACAAGTGTTCTCTTCTATCTGACAGGAGATGTAGGTTGGACAGCTTGAGAGTTTCACAGTACGAGCTGTACCCGCGACCTAGAAGTATTCTGCCGGCTCATTTCTGTACGCGCTCTAGGGCGGCGGACTGCAGGTTCTGTGTCAGCGCCGAGCTCCAACAGGGGGCAGCATACTCGAGTATGGGTACGATGCCGTGTTTAAGCCAGCCTTGATTTTTCACTCATTTTAATTTTGTAAAAATTCCGACCAAAAATAAAATTGCTACCAAACCACAGGAATACAAAGCTGGTATTGTGAATCGCGTCGCCAGCGACTGAAGAGCGCCATATTGCCATAACACGCCCCGAATACTGCTGATCTCCTCCAACCAACCATGGCAATCAACGAGACGGGTATCCCTCATTGCAGGAAGAAACAAGAGTTTGGAGATCTCATACCTCCATGAAATATAAATGTTTTTTTATTTGTCTCATTGACTATGAAAATGACGTTGTAATTAGCATGATCTAGTTTAATTTATGGTTTTCTAAATTCAAACGACAATATTTTTCGTGTGAAATTCCTTTGTCATACTTCATTTCAACAAGTCCTCATTAATCATGCAAATGACCTCTACATTAACATAATATATACATAGTGGTGTTAACCTTTAAGTAACTTACACTTGTCACAAGGTATAAAATTTCCATCATTCAGCAATAAGGGGTCACACACTTTTCACATTAATTATGCAAATTAGGTCATAATTTGCATAACTGGTATCTGTTGATGTTCCGCTTGCCACACATTAAATAGATTACATGTATAAAAGTACTATTATATAAAACACTGCATAATTTGCATTTAATGATGTACAACTCTCTCAGCTACCTACACACCAAAAATTATGAAAATTTGCTGCTCTTATCTGGACTTATTGGATTTTAAAGGTTTCGCCAGAAAGTCCCCTGCAGTTCCAGAACAAGCTGCTAAGGGAACCAAACCCACACCACTTATTTCTGACAGTAAAAGCTATGTATCACCAAAAAGTCAAGACCATAGCTTGTTCAGGACAAAAGATACAAAAAACAGAAGTTCTGCTGCAGTACCGAGGTCATCCACCATATTTGACCTTGACCTTTGTCTTCCTAAGAATTACCAACATACCAAATATAATCACAATCCATAAAGGCGTTATGAAGTTATGCTGACCACAATGTTGCGGAAACACACACAGACATACAGACAGACACGCCAAGAAACATACCTCCATTTTTCATGGAGGTAAAAACCTAACCCGGCAAATTTTACAGAAATCCGTGAACACAAGCCATGTTCGTATGGCAGTCTATATCTTTTATTGTTGTATTCATTTGTCACCCCACGACTGTTTGTCTAAATCAAACAATCGTGGTGCTGTGGCATAACGACAGAGTGTTCGGCTCAGACGCAAGAGGCCCCGGGTTCGAATCCTCCCCGATGACACCGTTCGTGTGCCCTTGGTAATGGCACTTTACACAACTTTCCTCACTTTACTCAGGTGTAAATAGGTACAGCTTCAGTTAGAGATGTCCATCGGATAGGGCGGTCCCGTGTGGAGGTCCCGTGTTTGGGGAGAGAGGCACACCCCACGCACGTAAGAACCCACCGCACTTATCGAAAAGAGTGTGAGTGGTTCAAACCTTACAGTCCGGTCTTACGCAGCATGTACTTACATGTACACAACTGGTGTGATACTCATATAAAGACGGTTTACTAGTTATGTGGAACAAACAAACAAAATAGAAAACATATTATATTATATTATTCCATCTTAGACCATAGGATAATTGTAACTGTCCGAAATATCGAGCTTTCGCCCGCTTCATGATTAGTAGAAACTGTCACTCAGTGGCAATTTTAGACATTTCAACATAGCTTTTAATGCTCTAAAGAAGGTTGACTTCCCCCCATGCCCCTCCCTCTGGTCATTGTTTTCAGTGGCCCTCTTTTTATCTCCCCCTCCTGAGAAAATTGTCACCCCATCCCTTAGATAGTACTGTAGTACTGTACAGTCCCTAACTCCTAATGTGTTGTGGCGACTGTTTTTTTTGTCCCGTTTTTGGGAACCACATCACGCATACATAACATCTGTTCAAAACAACTTCTTCTGGCTAAATGATTAAGTTGCAGGCTATTATTATCATAACAAATAAAAAGAAGGAACGACAACGCGAAATCTAAGGATGGCATGACAGCATGTTATACCATGTATTTCAGTTGCGTTTCAGCGTATCTTCCCAATATGGCCATTATCTACAAAATTCACCATGACTTAACAAACGTGTTGCTAACACCACAGTGTACAGAGTATGTAAACGTACCTGCAGTGACCAGCTCCACGAATGCCAGACTGGCCGCAATCAGGACGACCTGTGCCGCCGACTTCATGCTGTCGCCAGTCCGCAGGTCCGCACTTTTACCTGGGTAGATATTTGTAACCTTCGGGGCTTTCACCTCCAGCGTTAGGATGTTTTCAGCCGGGCAGGACGCCTGTGTTCCCAAAGCGCTGTGTAGAGTGGTTCAGGGACAGTGCCGTGCAGGCCGCTCAGTACTTCAGGGACGGTCCAATATTGCAATACTTCTTTGCAATGGCATTACGAATGGTCAGTTACCGAGACCTAAATTAGATTTTATGACCTTTTACCTGATAGATGTAATATAATTTATGTAAAAGTACGATATTTCATATAATTTCACACACTTGAACCTCCTTGTGGAGGAGTGACCCAGTCAAGGCCATAGCTCGGCATGACTGCACCGCCCCTGCACTAGGCCCTCTGAAGACACACATGTGTAAACACACTGGCAGTGTAGCCTGTTCTAACATCTGTTGATCATCTCTACAAGTCATGACGACAGGAGTCTGTTGACTTTCCGTGTGCGAGTCAAAGGAACCCCGCAGAACCAGCCTGGGAGGCTCATCATGTCTTTGCGAGATGTTTTCCTCGGTTTGGCTGACGAGGCGAATTTTGATCTTATGTCACCGACACTAAATGATTGGCCTCAATCACAAACACTTATAGCAGAGCCGGGTTGTATCAATGTGAGACTTACTTGTGCTATCTTTCATTGGGCAGAATGCTCGCATTAACTAAATAAAGGGTTAAAAAATTCAACACATTTTAACGTCAAACTATAATCAAGCGTACCGGATGGACAGGATAAGATACTCTGCCGATTCACTTGTTCTTATTTTGGTAGAGCAAACCAATGATGAGGTGAAAGTGTGTGTGGAGACAGGCAGTGGTTTTATAGGGAATTTGCCCTTATTTTCTAGAAATAACCAGCATTGCCTTCAAATGGCCTCATGCACGAACACCTAGGCATATTTCACGTATAAATTACTAACTTTCTCACTAACTTAGCTCCAGATGTCCTTATCTTTAACTTTTTTACATTCCTTGTAAGAAATGCTATCGCAAGGGCTCTTGTACGGTAAAAATTTGCCACTGAACATGTACTCGTAAATAGCAAGCCAACATGAACGCTGGTACCAAAACATGCAGGCAGACAGACAAGACTTAGCCTGGTATCCAGTTGATTCGTGGTCGGGGCCGCAAGAGCTCTGGCCCGCCCGCCTCACGTAGGTTTCCCGGTGTGTATTTCACGAGAGCTTGATTAGCCCTCCACGAACAGTCTATCGTGTTGGGGGAAACCAAATCCCCAAGCATACTGTCTCATGTTAGCGTAACTCTCCTACCGGGACGGTCTGTTGCACTGGGCGGGGGAAGCTATTAGAGCCCCCGAAGGCACAACCTGTCCGAACACCCCAATACCCCCAATCCCGTAAGACTGGATACCAGGCTAGACAAGACTTTGTTTCCCGTGGCAGTGTTCTATTATAGCTCTAATCAGCCATGTCTCCAGTCAGCAGGAATCGTGCCAGTTTGGCTGTTGGTCAGGACTCCGCGGAGAACGTTTGACTTCGGCTGTTTGTAATTTTCTCTAACGTGCCTGGCATGACGGAGGTTACCTCAGGTCATGTTCTGATAGGAACACGCTCACGATAAGCCCACATACTTCAACAATGGCACAGGGGGAGAAAACGGTTCACTGTATCATGCCGTACTGTTGAAATCTTATTTGTCACACCCTGCCAAAACAGTAAATATGTAAGAAATCTATTCAGTCATTCCTGAGCTTGCAGCACACACACGCACATACACACACACGCGCGCACACACACACACACACACACACACACACACACACACACACACACACACATACATACACACAAACACAAAGCAATCTATTCAGTTATTCCTGAGCTTGCAGTACACACACACACACACACACACACACACACACACACACACACACACACACACACACACACACACACACACACACACACATACGCACACACATACACACGCACACTTACACATACGCACACACACACATAAACACACATACATACACACAAACACACACATACGCACACACACGCACACACACATACACACACACACATAAATACACACACACACATACACACAAACACAAAGTAATCTATTCAGTTATTCCTGAGCTTGCAGCACACACACACACACACACACACACACACACACACACACACACACACTACTACACACACACACACACACACACACACACACACACACACACACATAAATACACACACACACACACACATGAATACACTCACACACACATATAGGACATATGCACACCTAGCTACATGGTTGAAAAGAAAGTTGCACAACAATGCTTTAGCTCTATTTGTTCTAGTTGGGGCAATTCAATTTGAAATTCCTAATTTGAATGAAAAATAAACCTATAAGTAATTAACTCCGTTCAAATAAAGTTTACAATCATCATTGTAAGTAACAATGTTCCAAAGGAGATCATTAGTTTGACCTCACCATGAAAGTAGTTGTTGATGTACTCAGCCGATCACCCAATTAACAGGTGGGCAATTAGGTGATTGACAGATGTGATCGGATGTAAGGTATTGTTAAAAGTACTTAGCACATCTTTTTCGTAAACTGAGACACTATTGGATGTGTCCTGCAAAATTCAGTTATGTTTTGTTGGTGGTTGATTACGTCACAGTCTGCTTTGAAATCCTATGAAATCAAACCCGTATGACGATCTTCGATGAATGTGTCCGTGTCATATATCGGGCAGAAAAGACCATTTACTCAAAATGATTCGCACGTCCAATAGTATAGAATATTTTCGCATGTCTCTGTTAACCTTTGCACCCACGTTGTACCGCGTGAAGACAAATTAAAAACATTTAACAGCTGGATTGTTAGGTTCTGGGCAACCAAACACTAGGGTATAGCAGGTATATATGTATAGCAGTACCATTGTATAAAACACTGTAATTATGCAAATTAGGTTCTCATTTGCATAATTTGCATTTAATGATGTACAACTCTCTCTGATACCTACACACCAAAAATGATGAAAATACATTGTTCCAATCTGGACTTATTGGCTTTGAAAGTTTTTACCAGAAACTAACCTACAGTTCCAGAACAAGCTGCTAGGGGGACCAAACCCACACTACTTATTCCTGACAGGATCTGTCTGTCACCAAAGTCAAGACCATAGCTTGTTCAGGAAAAAAGATAAAAAAAACGGAAGTTCTGCTGCAGTACCATTGTCATCCACCAGGAGGCCCATACTTGACCTTGGTCTTCCTAAGACTTACCAGCATACCAAATATCATCACAACTTGTTTTTGAGACCAACTTACAGGAGAAAAATGTAAGCCATTTGCATGCTAGGCACACAACACAAATGATCGTGCCCAATGGTAAACTACTGTAATATGTACTATCCTTACATGAAATATCTACTAACGCTTCTTTACGTAAATTGATTCTATATCTTCGTGTAGAACAACCCCACGCAATGTTGTTTGAAGCCTAAATTTTTTAATTATAATCCGTGATGTTACAACCTTCCCAATGAGTCTGAGCTAACAGAAAAAAACAGCAACACTCGGTCTTACCTCGGAATTTAGCCTGATTCAGCCGCTATCTGCTGCTTAGAGCCACCAACAATACAGAGTAAAATCGTACAATTTTTGTTATGGAGAACATTGAACGAACTTGGACCGTTCAATTATCATGAACAAGACTCATATTTGTATGTTTTTTGTGTATTTTCCCCTGGTATATCTGACATATTCTTATAGCGTTATCTGTAAGGAGTTCGCGAATCATGCTTTGTGTGTACTGTAAGAAAGGTATTTTTAGGTGTTATGAAAAAACAGCACTAGCTACACTGAATTTCCATAATCTAATAAGTACACCAAAAGGAGATTAGCAAAAAAAAACAAATATTTAAAAGGTGATTTAAATCAAATTTCGAAAAGAAAAAATTGACGCGAAAATAGATCGTTATTTTGCATTTGGATAAAAAATCATGTCCCCCCAAAGTATTGCTGTCTGAATCAATTCTGCAAGTTGATGAGGTCCTTATTTAAATAAGCTATGTTTAATGATGTTCACCTTCACTTAACTTTCAAAACACTACGTATGAAATTCCAGGCAGTTACCATTGCTGAATTACAACATTTTCTCATTAATTGATTATGCAAATTAAGTTTTAGTTTACATAATAAATATCTGCCTGCGTTTCTCTTGTTCTCAATTACATATGCCACGAGCTAGAATAGTCCTATCATGTAATGCAACTGATTTATAGAATTTACTCATAAATTATGGAAATTAATCCTTATTTGCATAATTGTCACATAATTATGTCAAGCATCACTAAAGCTATCTACACACAAAAACTATCCGTCAACCTGTTTCTGAGTTATCCTCTTCTGAAAATCATTAAAGCCCCTGCAGTTCCAGAGCAAGCCGCTAGGGGGCCCAGACTCACGGCATTTCTTCAAAAGTACAAGAGCTACCTATCATCCACACTTTGTGACCCTAGCATGTATAGGTCATGAGACAGCAAAACCAGAATCCGTGTCTCACCAAGACCTACCCACCTACCAAATATCAGGTCAATCCATTCAAGCCTTCTCAAGTTATCGTGGTTACAGACAGAAACACACAGACAGACAGACACACACACACACGAACGCCACTGAAAACTTAACCTTCTTGTCGAAGGTAAAAACTAGAGTCCCACGATCTCATACCTTCGCCAAATGATGTTAATATTTATAACTGATAAAGATGATTCCTTCTGATTATGCAAATAGGATCCTCATTTGTATTATATTTTTATTATAATATTGTATTATAATATTGTATTATATAGTTGATCATATTCTCCATCAAAAGGCAGCCTTATCTTAACAAAGAAAGCCATTCTATCATTTCCTCATAAATTATGCAAATGAGGTCCTTATTTGAATGAGTTATGTTTAATTCTGTTCACCTTCACTTAACTTTCAAATATCCCAAGTATGAAATTCCAGGCAGTTAGCATTATGAAATTATAACATTTTCTCATTTATTATGCAAATTAGGTGTTAATTTACATAATCAATATCTGCCTGTGTTTCTCTCGTTCTCAATTACATATGTCACAAGATTGAATAGTCCTATAATGTAATGCAGCTGATTTATAGAATTTCCCCATTAATTATGGAAATTAGATCCATATTTGCATAATTGTCGCATAATTATGTCAAGCGTCACTTGAGCTACCTACATACCAAAAATCACGACGATCCGTCCACCGGTTCTTGAGTTATCCTCTTTTGAATATTTTCAAACAGATAGCCCTGCAGTTCCTGAGCAAGCCGCTAGGGGGCCCAAACTCATGTCACTTCTTCCCCAGCATGAGAGCTACCTACAATCCAAATTTCGTTACCCTAGCATATCTAGATAATGAGATATCAAAACCGGAAGTTTAGCTGCAGTACCATAACAAGCCGCTAGGGGGTCCAAAATCTAATCATTTCCAGGTCTTATCGAGACCTACCCACCTACCAAATATCAAGATAATCCATCTAAGCTTTCTCGAGTTATGCTGTTGACAGACAGACAGACAGACAGACACACAGACACACGGCCAGGAAAACATAACCTTCGTCAATTCTTGGCGAATGTAATCATATAACGAGACAGTAACTCAAGCTATTGGCTCAGCAACCATTTCGAACTTCTTGGGCGAGTTCGTTATGCCGAAGATCCCTGTGATGGACGGCTTAGTGGCGCCCTCTGGCAGTTTGAAAGTGAAGTGCTGCAGCAGGGACGTGAAGAAGACGAAGAGCTCCATCTCAGCCAGCTGTTTACCCAGGCACATGCGCGGACCTACACAGGGTTACAAGATCCAATCCTGTCTATGTTGGCTACCTGTCAATTCACACTTTTTAAACGCTCCCCGAGTCACGCCAAAAGCAGTTACTCAAGCAACTGGATATGATTTTGAAAACGTCAGACGTTTCAGCTAGTATCCACTAGCTTTCGTCAGTGACTGAGAGACCAGAGGGGATAACAGGTTTATAAGCACAACCTATTGATTGATATGCGAAGTGATATGCTCCCCGAGTCACTGTTAAATTTGTTAATATTTGAATAATTCTTTTATCGCAAAGACTGTTCTTATCACATGCTTATGTCAATACCTTGTGAATGTTTCCCAGGCATTGGAATAAGGCTCAAGAAATTTCCATTATAATTATCCATAGATTAACTCGCTGTAAGTATCCCAACCGGAACCAGTACGTCTACCTCGTACCACGTGTATAGAGGCAATGCCCAATACAGTTGCCTTTTCTGCTTTGGGTGCTTCCATAATGAAATTCAAAACTGATGATTCATTGAGGAAAGACAAGGCCCAGTTTGTGGTGGTATATCACTACGAAACGGTGGGGTAAAAAATAGCGGCGACGTGATTTTCTTGCACGTTTACTAGCGAGCAGACAGACATAGTAAGCTTGTACACACACACGGCGGGTACGGCAGGCCTAGCAGAGAATGCCTCTTACCGACACCAAAAGGAATGACGTGGTCGTCCCTCTGGTATCGCCCCTGGGCGTCCAAGAAGCGACCGGGGTCGAATCTTTCGGGGTTGGGGAAATGTTCCGGGTCGTAGTGCACTGACCACAGGTTGGGCTGTAGAACAGGAATACTTGCAGTTTGTATTCATTTTATGCAGTTTTTGTCTTCGTCAGAAGGACTATGAAATTGTCTCGCCGGAGTGTGGGGAACTGCGGATTTTGCGATATAACTCTGAAAGGCATGATTCGACGTCCATGATTTTTGGCAGGCAGATTACCATTGTTGAGGCCAAATTCAAGTACAAGTTTCGGCTTCGTGGGGGGTCCGTGCGTCACGTTAGTGCACCTTTTGTGTTTGTGGCTTGTTAGCAAAATAACTCAAGTATTTGTAAAATGTTGATTATAATTCTTGGTGTGGTGCTAACTATTGTCGGGACCAAGGTTAAGTTCGTTACTGAGCTTCGTGGGGGGGTTCGTTGTGACTACAGGGGGCATTTTGTTAATTTTTCTTGTGAGCAGGATAACTTTTGTATGTGTGGATGGAAGTTAATGAATTTTGATAGGCATGTTACTGTGGTGATCTCCAAGATTGAGTTCAAAGATGAGAGTCGTGGAGATCGTTATGTCCCCGTAATAGGACCTTTTGTGTTTAGAAATCCCCCACCTACACCTGCTTGGAGACAGCCGACAGCTGGATATAGCCGTTACCGTCGGGGAACCCCATAATGGGATGGGATCAAATGACATTACATTGAGGGATTGTACTATAACTTCAGCAGGGGGAGGATAGGTTGGACATATGTCAGATTATTTTCTACGGCCACACCAAGTAATTGCTATGGATGACGTCCACTGGAGACCTTAAATCTAATTACCTTAAATTTAAGGCAAGCGCGCAATAAAAACACGAATGGCCGAAAAACGAGATGCCTAGATTTGGAATATACTAACTGTAGAAGTACAAATGTTAGGACACAAAGAACACAAGAAACAAGTCTTCTACATATGTATTTGTCATAAAGACAAATTAACAAAACAGCAGTAGTCCCCCTGTTCTGATTCTTTCCTTTATAACATCTTCTCTTATTATATTTTGCGGCGCTGTCGTGACACTTTCAACCCAGTAAGAATTTCTTGAACGTTTTTTTTTCCAGTAACAGTCCAAACTCAAATAACGTTAGGGGGGGGGGGGCGTAACACGGGTGACGACGCATCTGTATAATCTGTGGCAAACCGTTTCAGGGTGTTCTGTACCATAAAAATAGTATAGAGATTCTTTTGTTCTTTAGACCAAATTGATTATTAAAAAGAGTGAAGAATACGCATGTTAATTTCTCTAGAACGATGTACCTCTGACGAAGACATGAGATCTCCGACCTCTAGTTATCACATGGAGTGGTGTAGCATAGACTTACAAGAAGATCGAATTGGAGGTTAGGGAGGAGGTGAGGGAGGATTGGAGGAAAAATGGTCTCCCCACACTAAGGTTGGGAGGATCTGAATTGAACTTACTTGAGGATTGCATTTTTATGACGTGTAATATGCATTTTTATGACGTGTAATATGCACAGAATAAGTAACATATTCACAACAAGGTCACAGAAAGTTATGTTATGGATGGCATCATCGTGCGCATTAATTTTCGACTGACTTTCAATTTGTCGTTAAAGATTTTTGACTTTTACCGGTGGTAAACGTGCCAAAGTTGTGCAAAATGTTGTAAACGTCTATCTGTTCGTAGACCGTCAGCGATCCAGCAAACTTGAGGCACAA